GTTCTACAGCCCCTACTTCATTGTCCCCAAGAAAACCGGTGGGTTACGGCCAATCCTGGACTTGCGCGTCCTGAACCGCTCCCTTCACAGGCTGCCGTTCAAGATGCTCACGGCCAAACGCATTTTCGAATGCGTGCGGCCACAGGATTGGTTTGCAGCGATAGACCTGAAGGACGCCTACTTTCATGTCTCCATTTTACCTCGACACAGACCGTTTCTTCGGTTTGCTTTCGAGGGGCAGGCATACCAGTACGAGGTTCTCCCATTCGGGTTGGCTCTGTCTCCTCGCGTCTTTACGAAGGTCGTCGAGGCAGCCCTTGTTCCCCTACGCGAACACGGGGTTCGCATCCTGAATTATCTCGACGACTGGCTAATATTAGCTCACTCTCGAGATCAGGTTTGCGAACACAGAGACCTTGTGCTCCGGCACCTAGCCCGTCTGGGCCTTCGGGTCAACTGGGAGAAGAGCAAACTTTGCCCCGTGCAGAGGATCTCTTTTCTCGGTATGGAGATAGACTCGGTCGCCATGTCCGCGCAGCTTACGAGCGAGCGCGCACACTCACTGCTGACTTGTCTTCGACAGTTCGAGGGCAAGAGTGCGGTCCCACTGAAACTTTTTCAGAGGCTCCTGGGGCATATGGCATCCGCAGCCGCGGCAACGCCACTCGGATTGCTTCATATGAGACCGCTTCAGCTGTGGCTTCGCGATCGAGTCCCGAGGTGGGCATGGCATCGCGGTACGCTCAGAGTTCCAATAACTCCGACCTGCCGTCAGACCTTCACCCCGTGGCGGAACCTCAGCTTTCTACGGGCCGGAGTTCCCCTAGAACGAGTTTCCAGGCATGTTGTCGTCTCCACAGATGCCTCTGCCACGGGCTGGGGCGCCATGTGCAACGGTCATGCAGCCGCGGGCTCCTGGACAGGACCCCAGCGCCTTCTGCATGTCAATTGCCTCGAGTTGCTGGCAGTACGCCTTGCCCTGCACCGCTTCCACGCGTTGCTCCTGGGTCAACACGTACTTGTCCGCTCGGACAATACCGCGACAGTAGCGTACATCAACCGTCAGGGTGGTCTACGCTCTCGCCGTATGTCGCAACTCGCACGCCACCTCCTCTTATGGAGTCAGAAGCACCTGAGGTCCCTTCGTGCTATTTACATTCCTGGAGTGCGGAACCTTGCAGCCGACGAGCTGTCACGGCTCCGGCCAACCTCTGGCGAATGGAGACTCCATCCCCAGTCGGTCCAGCTGATATGGGACCAGTTCGGGGACGCACAGATAGATCTGTTTGCCTCCCTCGACTCATCCCATTGCGCCCTGTATTACTCCCTGACCGAGGGCACGCTCGGCACGGATGCACTGGCGCACAGCTGGCCGCAGGGCCTACGCAAGTATGCGTTTCCCCCAGTGAGCCTTCTCGCACGTACTCTGTGCAAGATCAAGGAGGACGAGGAGCAGGTCATATTGGTCGCCCCATACTGGCCCACCAAGACCTGGTTCTCCGAACTGATACTCCTCGCGACAGCACCTCCTTGGCCAATTCCTCTGAGGAAGGACCTCCTTTCTCAGAGACGGGGCACCCTATGGCACCCTCGTCCCGATCTTTGGAGACTCCACGTGTGGCTCCTGGACGGGACGAGGCAGGTTTGAGTACCCTGCCACCAGCGGTGGCGGCTACCATCACTTCCGCTAGAGCATCGTCCACGAGACATGTCTATGCGTTGAAGTGGAACCTCTTCGTTAACTGGTGCTCTTCTCGCCGAGAAGACCCCAGGAGATGCTCGATCAGCGTTGTGCTTTCCTTCCTGCAAGACGGGTTGGAGCGAAGGCTGTCTCCCTCCACCCTGAAGGTGTATGTGGCCGCTATCGCCGCATATCACGAAGCAGTTGAAGGTAAGTCTCTTGGAAAACACGACCTGATCCTCAGGTTCCTGAGAGGAGCGAGGAGACTGAATCCTCCTCGCCCTCCTCTCGTTCCCTCTTGGGACCTCTCAGTGGTCTTAAGTGCCCTGCAGAGGGCTCCCTTTGAGCCTCTGCAATCAGCTGAGCTTAAGATCCTGTCAATAAAGACAGCGCTCCTGGTTGCGTTGGCCTCCATCAAGAGGGTAGGGGACCTGCACGCATTCTCCGTTGACGAAGCGTGCCTGGAGTTCGGGCCCGGTCACTCTCACGTGATCCTGAGACCCCGGCCTGGATATGTGCCCAAGGTTCCCACCACTCCCTTCCGGGACCAGGTGGTGAACCTGCAAGCGCTGCCCCGGGAGGAGGCAGACCCAGCCTTGGCACTGCTCTGTCCAGTACGCGCACTCCGTGCTTACGTAGACAGGACGCAGTGTTTCAGGACCTCAGACCAGCTCTTTGTCTGTTATGGTGGGAAGCTGAAGGGAAAGGCTCTCTCCAAACAAAGGTTGTCTCACTGGATAGTGGACGCCATTGCTTTGGCATACCAGCAGCAAGGTCGACCATGCCCCCTTGGTGTGACCGCCCACTCCACCCGGAGTGTGGCGTCCTCTTGGGCTTTAGCGCGTGGCGCCTCGCTAACAGACATCTGCAGAGCTGCAGGCTGGGCGACACCTAACACATTCGCCAGATTCTACAATCTCCGAGTGGAGCCAGTCTCCGCCCATGTACTGTCTTTTTCAAGCTAACATGGGAGCTGTTAAGTGTCTCGCTTGCTCGCCATTCCACTCCACGGACTGGATACGTGCGATATTTCCTCAGGTAGCCTTCCTCTCTGAAGCCCTGAGTCCTCCAGCACTGTTGACGCTGGCGCCAGTGTCTATTGCCTGTGCGTCGGCTAGGTGCCTCCGTGTGCATGGTTCCTCCTCTGAGTAACCCCCACATGTGTATTTTCCACTGTAAGCCTCTTTGAGCATGTGTCTTTCCCTCGGCAAGTCACCTGCCACTCCTGGAGTTGAAAGTAGATGCCACCCTACGGGCTGGTCACTCCAGTGTTCCTCCATATGTAGCCCCCTTGGGCCATATGTGTATTCTTAAGTCCTCCCCTTGGGTAGGCATGCTGCGGCATATCTCCCTGAGATATGCTTCCCAGTGTACCTTGGTATTCCTGTGTTAAGTAGGACTCCTTCGTCCGTGCCTATATCACGACAGGGAGGTCAGACTTCGCAGGGCACTGGAAGACAGCTGTGAAGGTGGCGTGATTACACGGGGACCCCCATTCTCCGTCATCCGACGTAACTCGGAGTGACTACGAAAGGGAACGTCTCGGTTACGGATGTAACCCTCGTTCCCTGAGTAGGGAACGGAGACGTTAAGTCTCCGTGCCACTTCCGCTGTACCGCTGGGTAGACGCCTGAGTTCAGTCTCGGCTCCTCAGCGAAGACATGATCTGCTGTTGCAGGTGTTTCTCCTTAAATACTCACGCAGTGAGGCGGAGATACATTATGCAAATTCCGCAGACCCATGGCATTTCTTTGCCATTGGCTCGTTTTTTAATACTCGAAGAGGATTGGCTTTCTGGCGAAACCCCCATTCTCCGTCATCCGACGTAACGTCTCCCTTCCCTACTCAGGGAACGAGGGTTACATCCGTAACCGAGACGTTTTCCATAATCCTGGACTTGAGGTGAAATGTATCGCTGGTATGGCCAGTGTGTCTTTCTTCTTTTCTCTGTTTCTCCTGTGTTGCTTGTATGTTTTGTAGCCTATATCTATTAATATGTGAAATTGTACTGTCCTGAAAATGTTGTATCAGAATTAGACTTTCCTGAATAAATACAGAATAAATGTTGCATAATCATATTTGGTTTGAGAGCTCTGGTGAAGGGAAAGATTTTTTTCCAAATAACGACTTTGTCTCATACATAGACATACAGCCTCATAAGATGCCTTTTGGTGTTTTTTTTTAGACTTGAACTACATGGTCACAATGAACAGCATTGAACAGCGTAAAAAATCTTCAAATATGTTTAACAGATGAAGAAAAAAAACACCATAAAGGTTTTGAGCAACATGATGGCGAGTAAATAATGTTTTATTTTCTTTCTTTTTTTTGTGTGCAAAAAATCCTGTAAAGTGTGTCATTTTGAACCCAGCCTGTTGGAAAACAGATTGCTCTGTCCAAAACTCACTGGTTGAGGATTGCAATTCAGTTTGATGCAAAAAAAAAAAAAAACATAAATAAATACTCTCTCACTGCACCTTTAAAGAGAATAGCACATGAAAGATGTCACTAAAGCATTCTGAGTCAAGTAACATTTCAAAGGACCCACAATTAATATGCTAAAATTACTTAACCAATAATCTTGGATTCAGATCATTTGGGGGTTGATCATATTTGTAAACTTCATATGTGATTGTCCTCCATCCTCAGTGGCACACACAACATTTAAAAGCACAGTATTACATTCATAACGTCTTTCATTCTGAAAGCAAATCCGCCACAGTTTGTTCCAAAAGTGCAATGCAATGCGTGATTTACCAAAGGTCTATAAATAGAAAGTCAAGGAAGAAAGAAAGCTAGAGGCTTGGAATTTTCTTAAGGTATGCATTGTGTATACATGAATATATTTTTTAAATTGACAGAAACTCAAATAATAGAAAAATAAATAAGGCAAGTGCAGGCTAATTGCATTTTTATAATACATTAGTTGCATTAATGACTTTAAAAATCTGAACTAACTGTAATTGAATCCTTTTTACTGGCTTCCCCACTTCTCTGGTAACCAGTCAGAGAAGTAAAATATAATATTTTATGATTATTTTGTGAGATGCCTTCCTGTAAATTAAAGAGTAAAGCACGCGCTAGCAACGCCAAGGTTATGGGTTTGATCCCCAGAGAAAGCAACCGATAAAATGTGTACATTATTTGAGCATCCGCCAAATGCGTAAACATGAATGTAGATCCCATCCGCAAAACATGGTAGGCAACATGATGGACAGAGCTGTGGAATGCTAAGGCTATTCGTCTTAGTATAAAAAAATTTCAAAGCACTTCTGAAAAACATTTTTATGAGTTCCTCTCGCGCTGCAAACTTACTTACCCAATGTGTTTCCGACCAGAGATACAAGGAAAACCATGATATATCCAGCTATGAGCACCCATTCATATTGTTTAGGATGCAAATATTCCCTCCAAATGTACTTGAGAAGTTCGTCGTCGTCATCAACATGAGAATGCGAGTAAATTTCCGTGGAGTTCAGATGCAGCGCTGGTGTGGAACAGGCATCGCACGCGTCATTAGCGGTGATCGCGGACATGTTGCGCGCGGAGCCGGGCTCTCTCTCCAGCATCGCGGATGACTGACATGAGTGAGTGAAGGGGAAAGAGAGAGGGGAAGGGGGATACAACTCAGAGTTGATGGCGTCGTGACGCAACGTGCACCTCTCAGCCTATTATCAATTAGTTACCAAGACAGAGAAGCGTTATATGAAGTCAGAGACGCTATAGATTCTATCGAGTGCTTGCTGCATGGTTCTTAATGTCTCATGAGGATACTCATGTTTATTCAAGTGTAGCTGTCAGTTGTATGTCGCAAAATAAATGATAGCCTACCCACAGTCAAACAATCTTATTATGCTGTACTAGAATTTTTTTTTCCCTCTTTGTGACAGGTTCATCATGTTGAATTATAATGATTTATGGTAAATAATAAAGTAGAACACAATGCGATTTTGGACATCACTTTTAATGATGCATGGAGGTTTATATCTTCACATAGGCCTAATGGTGCCCAAATAGTGTTGCATTTAAATGGAATTTAGTTAGTTTGGACTTTTAGGCTGCGTCCGGAAACTAGTTTAGACCACACTTTTTTTCAACTAAAAAATGTAAAAGTTTTTATGCGTTTTGGCCATTCATTTACAGGACAACAGCATTTTTTTGGGGGCCTGAAACCGTAAAATTTAGGAAAAGGGGTTTCAAGGTTTTGAAAACGAGGCCTTTACAGTCTCTTAATTTGTGCAAACGGTGACGTCATTTTACGCAGGGTGTTTCTTGACAAAGAGACATCGCCATCTACTGGCCTGACAGCAGAATACAGCCTTTTAAATCATTTTTGTAGATCCGTGTGAACGTCTCGGTTACATATGGTAACCCTCATTCCCTGAAGTCGGAAGTCCAGCCAAGTCGGAGTGATTCCAATGATAGGAATCTCGCTAGAGAGTCAATCTACTTCGAGTGTAACTAAACAAGCCAATGCACATTGGCGTACATTCATTTGCAGCAGCTGCTCTGCCACTTTCAGATTGCACTTCAGTTTTTCGCTGAGGAGCCGAGCAGTTGGCCCGGCCGCACAGCGGGGTACAGGACATGTGGCGAGGGGACGTACGTCTACGTTCCCTCCATCAGGCAACGAGGGTTACCATACGTAACCGAGACGTTCCCTTTCAGTCAGTCACATTCGACGCCACGTCGGAGTGATCCGACTAATAGGAATCCCTACCAAAGTGCCAAAGCTGCTGCCCCCTTCCAGCACCCTGTGCAAACCGCCTGCCCCTTCTTGCCTGGAAGGACGATAGGAGAGGGCTTACACAGAGAGTGTCTGTCACTGTGGCAGTGCTGAAGCGGCCTCACATGGAGCAGCCTGAGCGGTGTTTCTGCTGCTGCCACTGCCATATGCCCCAGGAGCCTCTGAAAAGAGTTCAGTGGGACCGCCGTCCTGAAAAGAAACGTATTCAAGCAGTTCAGCAACGATCGAGCGCGTTCCTCTGTGAGGAGTGCTGTCCGTGCGACCAAATCCAAATCCATACCGAGAAAAGAGATCCTCTGCACGGGGGAAGAGTTTGCTCTTTTCCCAGTTGACCTGAAGACCCAACTGGCTGAGGTGACTGAGCACCATGTCCCTGTGTTCGCATAGCTGATCTCGAGAGTGTACTAGTATGAGCCAGTCGTCGAGATAGTTAAGGATGCGAACACCCTGTTCTCTCATGGGAACAAGGACCTCCTCCGTGACCTTCGAAAAGACGCGGGGAGACAGAGACACTCCGAAGGGCAGGACCTTGTACTGATATGCTCGACCCTCGAACGCAAAGCGCAGAAACGGTCTGTGGCGAGGGAGAACCGAGACATGAAAATACGCGTCCTTCAGGTAAATCGCAGCAAAGCAGTCTCGGGGACGGATGCATTCAAAAATGCGTTTCTGCGTGAGCATTTTGAACAATAACTTGCGGAGACTTCAAGATCGGTCGAAACCCATCGCTTTTCTTGGGTACAATGAAGTAGGGACTGTAGTACCCTGACCTCAGGGGGAGTTAAGGAACACAAGACACAGCCATAGATGTTATGGAGCTAGAAATGTGTCTTTATTACATGCGAGAAAATGAATGATCTGAGAGAAAAAAAAAAGTTTGAGAGAAAAAATTATCACACTGATAGCAAAAAAAGCATTTCATGAGAAAAAAATTATATTTGAGAGAAAAAAATGTCATATCAATAGCAAAAGATAATATTTGAGACTAAAAAAAGTTGAGAAAAAGTATTTTCTCATAGAACATAAAAAAATATAAATTAGAATTTTTTTTTATTATTTCTGAGAAAAAAAATCTCTCTCAAAATACTTTGAAAAAAATCTTAAACATATATTTTTTTGCTATCAGTGTGAAAACATTTTCTCTAAAAAAAAGTTTCTCTCAAACCGCTTTTCTTTGTTCTTAATGCATTTTGTTGCTCTCGTGTCAGGATTTTGCTTCCGCTGTGAAAATTGTGTCATGGGCGGGGCCACGTTCTTTTTTTCCTATTGGAACGTTCCTATTGGCCAGTCGGGTGAGCATCGTCTTGTCTTGGGAGTCGAACTGAATCATTACACCATTGTTCGCGTTCGGTTCACCGTCCTAGATAGATGCCGCCTCTGCCTTAGTTGAGCACGGACACTCCAATGTTTGGGTATATGATGACACACACAACTCGATGGGTAGCTGGCTGAGCAAGTTCAGCATTACTGAAGATTAAACATTAAAAAATAGCACTCATGCAAGTTTACCAATCATGATGGCTAATTAATAATTAGCTTTACTAGCGATTAGCAAGCTAATAATATAATACACATTAATTCATGAATATGAGTGCTATTTTTAATGTTTAATCTTCAGTGATGCTGAACTTGCTCAGCCAGCTAACATTCAGTTGTATGTGTCATCATCTTTTGCGGGAGTCCCACAAATCGTTTTATTCTCCCTGAACCCTCACACACAGAGTGAGTGCATTACAGCCCGCGCTCGCACTAGGCCATCAAATCTAGTCCCCGCCGCACTCTTTTGCGTTGGGAGTGCACGTCTCTAGATCAAAGGCCCGGCCCGAGGATAGTGACGGGAAATATCGACCTGACCTCGGGCTCGGGCAGAGAATCTAAAGGCAGAGGAGGCATCCATCTAGGTCATAGGTCGGCAACCCGCGGTTCTAGAGCCGGATGCGGCTCTTAAGCGCCGCCCTAGTGGCTCCCTGGAGCTTTTTCAAAAATTTGAAAATGGAAAAAATATTTTTTGTTTTAATATAATTTCTTAAGGAGGAAAAACATGACAAACATTCTTAAAGTTTTTCAACGTTGTAAAAATGTGTATAATAAATATTTAATTTCAACATTTCTGTCAACGAAGAATTTACGTCATAGACTGTGACACACGTGTCTGTCAGATCGGCGTGATGCCAGACCGGTGGCTGACAAACTAACCGGGTTGGGTTGCCGACAACATTTTGGGTTGCCGACCCCTGATCTAGGTGAACCGGACAATGGTGTAATGATTCAGTTCGACTCCCAAGACAAGACGATGCTCACCCGACTGGCCAATAGGAACGTTCCAATAGGAAAAAAAGAACGTGGCCCCGCCCATGACACAATTTTCACAGCGAAAGCAAAATCCTGACACGAGAGCAAAAAAATGCATTGAGAGCAAAGAAAAGCGGTTTGAGAGAAACACTTTTTTTTGTTTTGAGAAAATGTTTTCATACTGATAGCAAAAAATATATATTTAAGATTTTTTTTCAAAGTATTTTGAGAGAGATTTTTTTTCTCAGATATAATTTTAAAAATTTCAAAAACATTTTTTTTTATGTTCTATGAGAAAATACTTTCTCTCAAAACTTTTTTTAGTCTCAAATATTATTTTTTGCTATTGATATGAAAACTTTTTCTCTCATGAAATGTTTTTTTTTTGCTGTCAGTGTGATAACTTTTTCTCTCAAACTTTTTTTTTCTCTCTCAGATCATTTATTTTCTCGCATGTAATAAAGACACATTTCTAGCTCCATAGAGATGGCGTTCCTGGACCACCATGGTGGACATCGCATGACCGACTCTCTGCGGAGCTTCTCTGGCTCTTCTCTTCTCAGCCCCTATTAGAACTATGATATTCTATTCTATACTTTTATGAATTCTATTGAGAAACCATGAGAAAAAGGTGAATAAAGACTGAGTCAATGTTCAGAAATTATTATAATGTTTTGAACTATGCTGATATTTTCATTATTAAAAAATGCCATTATTTTATATGAAAAAGTTATTAATTATATTTTATTGACAAAATATTTCAGTTTGTCTTGTACATTTTTTGATTAGATCAGATAACATTGGGGGCGTGTTGTTCACATTTCACTTCCGTTCTGTCAGGGTAAATCAAGAAAAAACTATACACGGTATTAATGTATAAGTGGATTTACACAAACTGAGAAAGTCAAAAAGTGTTTGGTTTGCCCCGATACATCGTTGTAAACATACCATTAGGCAGCTGACTTTCCTCGCTGCCCTATCATGCAATGACTTTGTCAGCTTTTGTGCATGAAGATACCTCATGAAACTGTTTTCTGACAGACTTCTAAAGCAGCTACGGTTTAATGATCTACAGCAAAACAGAGTGAGCTTTGGTGATAACTAAGCAAATATTTAATAAATTTCTCGCTATAAATGACATCAGAAGTGGAAAACGTTGGTCAAAAACATACATTTACACACAAACTGAGGATTGTGGGATATCATAGGCAGCGAATGATACATATGCTACCTTTTAAAAATTGCTCAGATGAAGGTTTCTCAGGAGACAAGAAGTGGAACTAACATTGGATTAGGATGTGTCTTGATGCCTTTCTACCTTTGAATGCATTCTGCAAAGCCAGCAGGTTTCGGATGCAGCTATTGTTTGTTTATTGCCTGTTTCCGGTTTTCTTTGTTCTAGTTTTCCCGCCAGTCAACTGTTACCATGGATATTCATTTAATTATCACAGCTGATCATTACTGAGTTCATTATCATTGAGTATTTAAGTTCCTCATTTCCTTTCTGTCTTGATCCGGTATTGTTGGTGTCTGTCTCGAGTTCTTCGCTTTTGTTAATAAACCTTGTTACTATATT